CCGGCCCTCTGTCAGCTTCCTCGGCCCAGCGAGAACCAGTGGCCTCCCGCCACACACACACACACACATGCACACACATGCACGCACATGCACACACGCACGCATATACACACACATGCACGCACATGCACATGCACGCACATACACGCACTTACACACACAGATGCACGCACATACACACACATGCACGCACATACGCGCACATGCACACACACATGCACGCACATACACGCACTTACACACACACATGCACGCACATACACACACATGCACGCACACATGCACACATATACACACACATGCACGCACATGCGCGTGCACGCACATGCACACACACATGCATGCACGCACGCACATGCACAAACACGTGCACGCACACGCACGCACATGCACAAACACGTGCACGCACACGCACGCACATGCACACACGCACATGCACGCACGCACATACGCATACCCACGGGTATAATTCTCTTCTCTGGACTTAGTCTGAATACAGGGGCCTTCTCTGAACATCTCTCTTCAATACAGTGGAAATGGGCCCAGAGAGTGTTTCCCAAACCCTAAGCACAGAAAGCTCAACCATCCAAGAATTCATACTGTGTCTTTCCCAACCGGAGGGCTCTAGACAGGATCCCTCTCAACAAGAACAGCCGGGCCCTTGCTGTGCTTTTGCTGGACTCGCCCTTCCTGATGGAATATCTGGGTTGTGCTCCTGTCCTTCAGTTCTGTCTGTAGGTCATTCCATCTGTCCCAGAGCACCAGGTCCTTTCCTTCCCTGACACCTCTTCACAGAGCCAGACTGTGGGGAGCTACCTGCCCAAGTTCCTCAGGTGACTCTGGGGAGTCCGAGAGGACGTGAGCCCCCTGGTCACTCCGGGCCTTGTCCCCAGAGGACCGAAAGCTGTTCGTGGGGATGCTGGGCAAGCAGCAGGGCGAGCAGGACGTCCGCCGCCTGTTCCAGCCCTTCGGCCACATCGAGGAGTGTACCGTTCTGCGGAGCCCGGATGGCACCAGTAAAGGTGACCTGCCCCGACCCTGGGACTTCCAGTTGACCCTGTGGCACACTGGGCCCCTTGATTCTGTGACCCCCGTGGCCTGAGCCACCCGATCCCTCTGTTCTGCCCTAGGCTGTGCCTTTGTGAAGTTCGGGAGCCAAGGGGAAGCGCAGGCGGCCATCCAGGGCCTGCACGGCAGCCGGACCATGGCGGTGAGGGTGGGCAGCTGGGAGCCGAGGGTGAGGCCAGTGGGGCGGGGGCAGGCTCCCCCTCCTCCTCCCAGAGAAAGAGGCCAGGGTCGGGACGGGTCACCGCGGCCTCCCTTGCCCTGCCCAGGGCGCCTCGTCCAGCCTCGTGGTCAAGCTGGCCGACACTGATCGTGAGCGCGCGCTGCGGCGGATGCAGCAGATGGCCGGCCAGCTGGGTGCCTTCCACGCGGCGCCGCTGCCGCTTGGGGCCTGCGGCGCCTACACTACGGCGGTAGGTACCCGGTCCCGGGGAGC